TGAATCCTTTCCAAGCATGAGCTCATGAACCTCACTTTTGATCTAGATGCAACTTCTTAGAATCGTTGCAAAATCTGACCACTTATTGATCATTTCCTAATATTTTTGGGTGTCATTTAATTGCTACAACACATTTTAGTGTTTCAAACGTGTTTCATTGTTAAAAGATGCCAGCCAGAATATTGTATTATTTTTATGGCATAGCTGCCAAAATGCAGCTATGAAATATGTTTTGAGTGTCAAGAAGGCACTCCTGTTTATGAGACTGCATTGAAATGTGTCATATTCAGTAAAATTTTATTAATTTATTTGTTGTTTTTTCTTTTATGATTCAAGGCGACAGCTGGTGGTGGAGGGCGTGGGATGCGTCTTGCTAAAGAACCTGATGAGTTTGTGAAGTTATTGCAGGTATTTCTTCAAATATCAGTTGCTCCAACTATTTTAGTTGGCATATTTCTCTTTTAATGTTTTTGGCTTTATGCAATTTATTTAATCATGTCAATTGCCATTTGGCTCATGAATCATGACCATTCTTTTCTTTCTTTTTTTTGCCTCCCGGGGAAGTGCAGAAATCATGGAATGCATCCTTATCCTTATTTAATTTTTCTACTGCTCTAATCCCCTTGTTATGAGTAGTTATAATCATTAGACCCTATTTTGGAACCTGTGAACGAAGAAAACGACTGGCCCTTGATAATTTGACCCAAATGTTCACGGGTTGCTAGTTTCACAGCTTGAAGCAGTTACTTACAGTTACAGTCACGGAACCTGCTAAGCAGCTCGAAGAAACCCTAGCAACATCAAATATTGTTTTTTAAAATATATTGTACTTCCAATTCTGCCGTATTTCTCGTAGATTTCACTTTAAGGAACATTGTTTTCTTAGGTTACGTGGGACTTTTTTTTTTGACATTTCATGTCTATTCTTGATCAATAGTTTATATAACATGTGACATGAAATTTATTTTTCATATATACTCTAAAATGGTAGTTAGTTTTCATTTTTATGGATTAATATAAATTAATGTCATCCAAAAGAATTGAATTACGCTTTATCTAAATGAAATATCTGTGCTCAGTTTTCTTTTGATTTGTACATCTAACAGCAAGCCAAAAGTGAAGCTGCTGCTGCATTTGGAAATGATGGAGTTTATTTGGAGAAGTACATTCAGAATCCAAGGCACATAGAGTTCCAGGTGATTATTCTGTGCTTTGTATAATTTATTTTTGGGTATAACCACCAATATTCCATCCATTGGCTGACTAATTTGGATTGTGTATTGTAAATATCCATTATTGGAGTGACCCTCTCAACCTAATTTGCTCCATTCACAACATCACAATTCGAATCCTGGACGTTGTTTAAGGGGTCTAGTATATCATCCCACTAGACCAATTAGTAGTTGGTTGCTTTGTATAATTTCACTTCTCTTCATGTGCTTGAATCAAACTTTAGTAACATAAATCTGGAGGGCAGTCTAGATCTGTTCACCTTTATAGTTAGTATGTTTTCTTGATAACTTAATATAATTTGTATATGTAACATTTATAATGAGTACTGACCTGTTGGTTAAGCCACACTGCCCTGTGCTTCTTATGCTCTGTTAAAAGTAAACTATATGCAAGTTTTTAATTATCTTGCACCACTTTTATGGTTTTGCAGGTTCTCGCAGATAAATATGGTAATGTTGTTCACTTTGGTGAGCGTGATTGCAGCATCCAGGTACTATTACTACGTTTAGTTCTCTCTAACTTATCTGCATCTTGTTTTTTGAAACCAAATTTATAAAGAAATCACTTTTAACAATTAGAAAAGAGTTAACAAGAATGCTGAAGTTTTATGATGCTGAAGTTTTATGGAATAGCAAAACAATCCATAATTACTAATTTAGAGATTTTAAATTTTCTCCATTCCTCCAAATTCTTTGGGGTGTGGGGCATATTTGAAAAGGCTTGCCTGCTTATGTTTATGGTGGGCTAGGGTTCGCTTACTTTTTGCTTTAATCAATTTATACATTTGATTGTGAAAGTCAGCGAAATCCTTGAAGAATTAAAAGCTACAAATTTAATTTTAATGAATAACTAAAAACATGACTTTACTGTTAATGAAACAACTATGTGCAAATTGATGCTCATTTTAAAACTTTATGCACTATTAACAAATCTAGCATTCTTCTCTTTTAGTATTTGACTTTTATATTTTATGCCAACTTTAGGAAAGTAAAAATAAGTAACAAAAGTAACACCTGATGGAGCCTAAATAACAATATGAACTTTAAGGAATAGTTTCCAGCTAGAAACCCCCAAGATAATCCGAACTTTACTCGATAACCCTTGGATGGCTTTATCAACACTGATTTTCAAGCAGATCAGATCACCATTTCCTTTTGGAAATTAAAGCATCCTATTCTTGATATAGCCTCCAAATATTGTACCCTTCTCTTAAATGGAGCAACTATGCTTTACAAAAGTCTGGTGGCTATTTCCCAAATCTTTGCTGCAGTTTACGGATATTAACCAATCTTTTGGCAGCACAGTGTTATTTCTTACCCCCTTGCCTCTTAATTGTTAAAGAAAGAATAACTAGATTACTGACAAAAAATTTTGTTGAATGTAACTTGCTATGCAGAGACGGAATCAAAAACTTCTAGAAGAGGCACCTTCTCCAGCATTGACACCAGAGTTACGTAAGGCCATGGGCGATGCAGCAGTTGCAGCAGCAGCTTCTATTGGTTATATTGGTGTAGGAACTATCGAGTTTCTTTTAGATGAAAGAGGTTCCTTCTACTTCATGGAAATGAACACTAGAATCCAGGTTGAATAAGGACTGGGAATTCTAATTCATGAATTACCTATTGGCGTATTAATCATGTATTTTTGTCAATTAAACTCAGGTGGAGCACCCTGTAACTGAGATGATTTCCTCTGTTGACTTGATTGAAGAACAAATTCGTGTAGCTATGGGAGAAAAACTTCGCTACAAACAGGTATGAGATTAAAAGTTTCAGCTAAAAGTTTTGGAGCATCAAACACGTTATATTCAACTGTTCATATGATTTGCAGGAAGATATTGTGCTCAGAGGGCATTCAATTGAATGTCGTATCAATGCAGAAGATGCATTTAAAGGGTTCAGACCTGGACCTGGTATGTCCTATTTTCTGTTTTTTTGTGTTCATTTGTACTTACTCTGGCAGTAGGTTCTGCTTGCTACTATCATTCAAGCTTGCATATGCTTATAGTAACATTATAGACTATCATTTACTTTTTATTTAAAAAATATATTTTATACTTTCGAAGTTGCTACACAAATCTTTCCGCAATTTCTATCGGATGTTCTCAAGCAACCAAAAGAATAGGGAGGAAATGGAAGTACTTGGTCTAATAGTTTGATTGTTTAAATTCCTCCTCTGATTTCTTAATGACAGGGAGAATAACATCATACTTGCCATCTGGAGGCCCATTTGTTAGAATGGATAGTCATGTTTATCCTGATTATGTAGTTCCTCCAAGCTATGATTCATTACTTGGAAAGGTCAGTAAAATCTGTATTGTACTATTAAGATTATGTATATACGAGCAATTTGATGCAAATCCTTAAGGTCATATTGTGGAAGAGAAGAAAATTCTAACTTTGTTTCTTGAAGGAGTAATGAGAATACCATAATTTGTCTTATTTCAAGGTGCTTATAGTAAACTGAATTATCTCAATTTTGAAGGCAATTCTTAACATAGTAAAACATAAGCAAAAACTTTCATGGAGAACTGCATGTATGTTTGATTCATGTATATGAAAATGGCCTTGGGCGCTGCTTCTCTACCTTTGATATTGTTCTAACTATTTACTCTAATGTAGCTTATCGTATGGGCTCCAACAAGGGAAAAAGCAATTGAGCGCATGAAAAGGGCACTTGATGACACTGTGATTACAGGTACTTGGTTATTGACCAAGGTTTACTATTTGAACTTTGTTTCATGAGCTTTATTATTTTTTATCATTAGCGTTTTCATATATCTTTAGTCAATTATTGTAAACATTCAAATGCATAAGGTTACATGGGGCATGGGAGAAGAAACCTATAACTAGAAAGAAAAAAAAGCGACTATAAGCATGTGTTTGAGAGGATCCACTTTCATCGACCATTGTCAGTGTGACTTCTGTTGGTGCTTCAGGCATGCAATTGAACTTGTTTGGACCAAAAGGAGCCGTTTGATTTTCTTTGTTTTTGTTATCTAGCAAAACTCTACCCATCAAAGAATATCCTAAATCTGTACTTTTTCGTTTCAGGGGTTCCTACAACGATTGAATACCATAAACTCATCCTTGATATTGAGGTTGGTAATATTTTGTTAATGTTTAGTTGGAGAATATTATACTTTTTGGTAAAAAGTATTCAATCTAACATGCAACACTTTACAGGACTTCAGAAACGGAAAGGTTGACACTGCTTTCATTCCAAAACATGAAGAAGAGTTGGCCGCGGTAAGAACTTGCTTGTTTCCAATAAAAAATGTTCAAAAATGCAAAAAAGCTTAAAACACTTTGTTTTATGTTTGCAGCCTCAAAAAATGGCTGTCACAAAAGAATTGACTAGTGCGACTGCTTAGAAGGTTGGCCATCTTCCTTGTCATCATCTTCAGCTTTTGTGGTATAAGCCATGTAGCTGTCTTGTTGTTTGAAATGTTGGTAGTGGAAAAGCCATTCTTTTTCATTGATGATTCTGAGACGTGAAACTACATCCCGGGTAGAAGAGTGGGGTTCATCAAGCTCCTGTTTGTTGTTCAGCTGACATTCTAAGATACATTGTCTAGTGACGTTTTATTGCTCCTCTGTTTTGATCAAATTCTGTTTTTCAACTGTGATTTTATTCTTGAATGTACGCGCGTAATTTCCATAGCGCTTGGAACATTTTATGTCAGGGAAGTAAGTGCAAAACAAATAGCCATATATTTCCAACATGTTGATTTTATTGTGTTCATTACTGCTGAACTATAATATTCATAGCATCTGAACTCTTCATAATAATACATATAAATATGCTAACATTTTCTTATATACAATAAGCTGAAAAGCCTTGAGATTCTGAAGGCCAAAAGGAAAAGGAAATATCATATGGTTCTTGTTCCACTCAGATGCTGAAACTGAAACTCAAAATCCTACCAAAATTCTGCAGTTGCACCTGCATGTTGCCATCTTCTTTCCTTTCATTTATTTGTCCATTTAATTATGTATCATGTATAAGTAATGATTAAGTAATAGTCTATGCGGCAGCAACCACGGTGAACAACACCTGCGGGCCAGAACAGTGGGGTGCAGACTCAGAGAGTGGTTTCTTCCTGTCTTCGGCCCTACATGTTTGTTTGTGATTATTATCCTTTGTAATTTGCTTGTCACGGCACTCATCACTGCAAAATGCCTTCTCCCCTCTGCCAATCCAATGTTTTTATCAGTGAAAAGATTCTTTGATGCCATCAGTATCAATCTATTATAATATTCCCCAAAAGCAAAGGAAACACAGGCTGGCTTTGGGGACACCAGGAAAGGAAATTTTGTCTTGTTCAAAAGTTGACAATCAACAACACATACGAGCTGCAGATGCATATATCATTCATTATTATATTTCACTATCAAGAAATATCTCAAGCAAACGGGCATAACCACTAAAATTCAGGAATAAATTGACCATAAACAGAAGAAAGACAAGTTTTCCACCAAATTAAAATGACTCTTCATTTTACATTAAGTATTCTGTCGGCCAAATAAATATCCGGCATACATTGATATGTAGATCTACACTACTCCCCAAGTCCAAGTAATATGTCAACTAGGAAAAGGAACCAAGGTTTTGATCCAGAAGACACAACAAAGATGTGTAACTTTACAACGAACCCCTTTCTTCATACAGATTCTACTTCAAAAATGTCCAATTAGTCAGATGGTGACAATGTTCGATTATATGATAAATCCTTATTTTTCAAGCCACACTTCAAAAAAAATTAAGTGATTTAGCACGACTGAATTGAAACTTTGAACTTTATAACAATGAAACAGCAACATCCAAAATTTATGGCATCTCAATTTCATCTTCCAAAGGAAAAAAGTAACAAATGCAACTCAATACATCATTCACAAATCACATTGCAGCAGGCATTATTTGCTAGATATTTAACAAATGAAGTGGCAGTAAAAACTAAAAACACAATCAAAATTAATTATCCCTTACAGTGATGGTTGATAAAGCAGTTAGCATGCTAACGACTTCAAAGATACAGCAAGGATTGTAAAGTGGTAGATTCTACGGTGCTAAAGTCTATAACAAACGTGCTTACAACTTATAGTAAGCAACATTGACTGCATCTTTGTATTCAAACAATGAAGCCAATGTTATAGTAAAGTGGTCTGTTTAAGAGTAAGGTCAACCAAAGCTGGCTTAGTATTCAAACAATGAAAAAGCCACCTGTCATTGAATACTCATTGTTCTCCTTCCTGTCATAGCATTTTCTATTAAATCCTACAGACCTTTGGATCCTTAGATATCTTTTCCAAAGATAAAGCCTTTGAAGAAACTATAGTCAATTACTTAACCAAGAAATTCAATTCTACTCAACAAAGCTGATTCAAAAAACTCCACCATAAACTAATCAACAAAAACTTATACAAAATCATATCCAAGCAATCGTTACATCCTTTTACGCATCAATTCGTTGTAAATCAGCAAAAGCATCGTCGAGAATCAAAACCCAACATTACTGAAAACATAAACCAATCAGAAGATGATCAAAATCCAATACCTGTACATGAAAATATCCAAACCAAGGAGTTCCTTCCTGCAAAGATGACAATAAGCCAGAAAGTCATCACCCCAAAACTCCCTCTTGAATTGACCCATAACCGAAGAAGAAGAAGTGAAAGCCCTGCAACCTTTGCTATTATCGCCGGAATGAGAAATAACACAATCGGGGTTCTGAGATAATTCACCGGAATTCTCCAAACTAAAGCCACCTCGGGAATTGGGTGCTGCTTGAACAGATGGAACTACAGGCACGGAGGTGGCGGATCTCGGCGACGGAGCAAAGCAAATAGGCTGACGAGTATAGGTTTCATCAGTCATAGCCGCTACTATGCCTAGCCCAACCACACCGTCTTGGAAGTTCCTTGTGGATTTCGTTGGGGAAAAACTGGTGAACAGGTTGAGATTGATGGCGGGTCTCTTTTTCCCACCAAAATTTTCCATTTCGATTCGGTTCGGATCAATTCAATTCATAGGATCTTGTTGGGTCGTAATTACGGAAGATATAGGATATTGAAGCAAGGGGGAAATCGGAAAGGAGTGAATTAGATGTATTCGTTTCTGAATGAGAAAGCTGGAGAGGGAGAGGGAGAGGGAGAGGGAGAGGGAGAGGGACGAAAGCTTTATTTATTTCATTGTTTTCAATCAATCAGGTCTCTTTCTTCTCTCCTTTCACCCTCTCTCCTTGCTCAGAAAATATAAACAGATTGGTGGCTAAATTAAGGAAAAAGGGTTAAAGACAAAAATAATTGGGAAAGTTGGTATTTTTAAGATTACTCAAGCCTATAGGATGATCTGTACAGGTAATTTGATGAATTTGTTCTTTCTTTTAAAATGCTTTTTTTAAATAAAATCTGACGTGCAGCCTGCTTAATATATTGGTAAGTAAATATATTATTGATTTTGTTATTATTTTTTAATAAAATTGGTAAAAAAAAAATTATCTATTGTTTTTAATCTGTTTTTTTATTTAAACTTTTAATTTTTAAAATTATACTTAAATATTAGTTTTTATTTCATTCTAGTATCCTCATTCAAAATTTCACATTAAGTTTTGATTTTTTTTTTGAAAATTTAAGTACTAAAACATATCAAAATTGATAGTTTAGATATTAAACACGTTAAATTTTTGACGGTGAGATACTAAAATAAAATAAAAACAAAACGTTAGGGATAATTTTAAAAAAAATTAAAAGTTTAGGTACTAAAACTGATAGTTTAGATACTAAATGCATAGTTTACTGGAAATTTAATTTATTTAAGTTAAATAAAATTATAAATTAGGTTTCTTTTTGAACCGTAGATATATTATAAAATTTTAAAAGAAGTTAAAATTATATTGATAATTCGAAATTTAAAATTGTGTATTTACTTTTGAATATTTATTAATAATTTTAAGTGTTTTATTTATTTCTTCTTTCAACGGTGATATTGTCAAAATCACTGGTAATCATCGATAATTTTAATTTTATTTCTTATTTTTATTTTAACTATAAAGATTAAATTAAAAAAATTGACTTTAATAATGATTATACAATGACAAATTAACTTTATCACAAGTTGATCTATCTTTAATAACCACGAGTGTCTATCAATAAGAAAGAATTAATTTAAATATTTCAAATAAAAACATATCAATAAAATAATAAAAAAGATGACGTAAAATAAAATATATAATAAGGGAAAAAAACCAAAATAACGTAATTAAGATATACAAAACAGAGGAAGAAAAATAAGAAAGGCCAATGGTCGACGTTCGATCTGGATTGATATTACTTTTAAAAATGCGATAATAATTTTTTTTAAAAATATTATTAAAAATGTAGTTAAAAATTTATTTGTTTAGAATTATTATTAAAAATGAGTTTAAAAAGATAATATATCCATTATAAACATTATGTTGTAAATTAAAAATAAAAAATAAAAAATATAAATTATATTTATATTTATTAATATTATGATATATAAAATATATCAATTCAATTTAAACTATAATAAAAAAAATATAATTATAATAAAAATATATTTCATAATAACTCACTATTAATATGTTAATATATAAACCATGAATTTTATTTATTTTTAAGTAACTAAAATAAATTATTAAGTAATAAATTATTTTTTAAGGATTTTAATATTAAATGATCAAAACAAAATAGAAATAAATAATTGAGTGAAACTCATATATTAGTAAGGGTAAAACTATAATTTACTTTCAAACGCAAACTGAAAAAACTACAAATCCTAACTTTTGAGTTTGGTTTAAAATAATCGTTTCCACCATTATTATTTTTTTCCAATTTTTATATGTTTGACATTGATTTTGAGTTCAAAACGAACTTTTTTATTTAAAAGTGTTTTTAGAAAGTCACGTCAAATTAGCCTTCGAGATAATATAAAAAAATTTTAAAAAGAGAAAATAGTAGGTTTGTCTAAATAAAAAGTAAAAGAAAAAACAAAGTTATTTAATATATAGTTATAATATTGAGTGGCTTATATATATATAGAACATAAAATCTCTAACATCAGTTGCACCCTTCAATAAACTTCCACACAAATTAAGACATCGTACATGAACCTAATTCATGAGACATTCATCACTTGTTGTCTTCGTCACTGCCACTACTGGACCAATATTGCTGATAAGATTCCTCATCACTGCTAATGTTTCCGAGCTTCAATCTATCAATTCTGTTCACGGCTTCTTTCAAATCTAATCTCTTCAGTGCATCATCTTCGCAGCAACTCAACCCGATCTTCAACAGCTGGAGCATCGTTTTCCCGTCACGATCGCTTACGGCTCCCATTTCTTTGTCGAACGCCTCCATGTCGATCGACGACGTTTCTTCGTCGTCGCCGACTATCGATTTCACCCATGTCGTTAAGTCCTCTTCGCCGCTTCCTTTTCCCATCTGCAAGAAGTTGGAGGGGAACTTCCCGGTCATAATCTCTAGAATTAGTACACCGAGACCCCATACGTCGGTCTTCTTCGTGACTCGACCGTGGTGCACGAATTCGGGTGATTTATAGGCCGTCATGAAGGCTTGAGCATTCTCCGGGTCGATCACTGGGATCAGTCCGTAATCGGTGAGGAGTGGTTCGAAGGATTCGTTGAGGAGAACGTTTGAGGATTTGAGGTGACCGTGTGGTGCGACCAAACTAGGCAATTCCTTGTATAGGTACGCCAGCCCCTTGGCTATTCCTTTCACGATGTTCAATCGAGTTGGCCAATCAAGGCCTTGTTGCCCCAAAGTTTGATGGCCTGCAGGAAAGAACATCGTCAAAAATACTATATATTTGAACATATATTAGCAAAATTTTGAAATAATTGAAAGTTCGCTCAACAAACCATGAAGATGAACAGCCAAGCTGCCATTTTTGACAAAATCGCAGACAATGAGCTTTTCGTCCTTCCTGTAATGATAAGCGACGAGAGTAAGCACGTTTTCATGTTTCAGTCTCCCCATCCTTCTCATATGCTCTTGGAAATCTTCTTTCCCGGCGTTGGTCATCTGTTTATACCTCTTAACCACCATGGCCGACCCATTTGGTAGTTCAGTCCTATAAGATGACCCGAAGTACCCACTTCCCAACACCTCGGCCGAGGCTCTGAGCAAGTCCGGCAAATTGAACTTGTCTCTGTCATCATCCCTCAAGAAAGTAAGTTTCGTAGCGGACTCCGCTAACTTCATTCCGTTGCTCGAGCGCGGCGACGGCGTGGCGGCGATAGCACGGTCTTGTACCTTGAGACCTGTTTTGGTTTTGGGGTTTGATGGTGGTGAAACCTCCACTTTTGGACCCGGTTGCTGCCTTTTGCGCCAATTGATCATGATGACTGCAACTATGGCTATGAGGACACCGACTATAATAGGGATCACAATAGCCCATCTTGAGATATTCTTCTTGGAAGGAGCAGCAGCAGCAACGTTTTTGTTTGGATCATCAGCAGGGGTCGACTTACATGCCGTCAATGGTGCTCCACAAACACCTTTATTGCCTACGATATATATATATATAATCACACATTTAATTAAATGATAGAGTGATAAAAGTAAATGTTATTCTTTTTAGATGATTCGGATTAGAATAGTGTTGGTCACCTGCAAACATGTCGGCTTTCATCTTACTAAGGCTAGCTGGTATAGGACCCTCCAATTGATTATTCGAGAGATCAACTACATGCAACTGTTTCAACTCAAAATCCGGTAGTTCTCCCGAAAACCGGTTACCGTCGAGCTTAAGCACCGAAAGCCTGGGCAGGGTGGCCAGCGACGCCGGAATCGGACCGGTAAACTGGTTTTTCGATAGATAAAGCTTCTTGAGCCAAACCATGCCTTGGAATGCATTGTCAGGAATATTTCCAGAAAACCGATTGTTGGATAAATAAATGGATCTCAACCCAGAAATCTTCTTGAACTCGGGAATGGAACCATTAAAATTATTGTTCATAAAGCTCAAGGCTCTCAAGCGAGGCAGGGCGGTCAAGGTGTCGACATCAATGGTGCCTGATAATCCCATGTTCTCGAGCCGTAAACCCCAAACGGTGTCTTTTAAACAAATGACGCCGGCCCAGTTAGCACGTATGCCGTTGCATATAGGGCTGGAATTGTTTTCCCACTTCTTCAAAGCAGCGCTGTTGGCCAACGAGGATTTGAACTTGAGAAGGATTTCGGGATCCGACAATGCATAAGAAATAGAAAACATGGAAAAATGCAGCAGGATAAGATGTAGGATCATGAGCTGAAGTTGACGACGAAAGGCCATTGCTGTGGTGGCAGCGCCGGCGTCGCGGTGTCAAGGGGAAGAAAGATTGCTTTGATTTTTGGAGACAAGAGGAGATGTTGATGCCATTCATGGGATTTGGAATAATAAATATCAAAGCGCTAGAAACAGAGTTGCTGTGCTGTTAAACGTTAAAAGGCCGTTGGAGCCAAAATTCGAAAGGAGTTTGGTAGTTGCTACCGCCGTTGATAAGTTCATCTTCTTCATTTTCTTCTGTCACCGTTGAATTGGATACAAATATATTATACAACTAAATATCCATTTTTATTCTGTATTACCTTCGTAATCTTATATTTTTATGTTCAGAAAAGTATTTTAACCAAAATAATGGGGACCAAAGATGCAATTAATCCAAAAACTGAGAGTATTAAGACTTATTTTGTTTAGTTTCAAAACAAATTGAGGTCTAAGAAATTGTTTAATCTAACAGTTTAGGGGCCAAAACGAAGTAGTTAATATTTTCGATATCCATAAGTTTGGGTATATCATTTTCGAGTCTATCATATTTTTATATTTTAATTATATATTTATATAAAAATATAGATTTACTAAGTTTAAAAAGATCGTACTTTTTTAAAAATATAATTATAAAGAAAATTATGGTTAGAAATATTAGATTCTTGTACAAATATAGACATAGATCGAAAAGAGTCGAAAAATCAAAATAGACCGAAACACACCTCGACGATCGAAATAAACTGATATTTTGATCGAATCGAACCTGAAATATGTACAAATAGTAACACAAATCCTATGTTCGTACAAATCAACATATCATACAAAAGGAAGTTAAGCCGCAAAATTCACAATTTCTGGTTTGTACAAAGAGTATCAAAAGCGAATTCAAAGTTTTTGACAGTTCGAATGCGAAGGCTTGGTAAGACTCTAGCCTTAGTTCTTACCGAGCTACTAATGAATACATAACCTAAGGATAGGCATGAGTCGGGTTTCGGTCAATCTAACCCGACTAAAAAAATATATTCTTCACTAGATCCAAACTTGATCCGATTTTTTTACATAAAATCCAAACCCGATCCGACTCTACCCTACTTGAAATAATAATAAAAATATTATTTTTATTCAATAAAAACAATGATTTAATTAAAAAATAATATATAGATGGATATTATTGTAATTATTCCTAAATATATAAGGTAAAATTATATTTTTTTCCAGGTCATGTCGGATATTTTTCACCATAAACCCGAATCTGACTCAAATCCTTTTTTTTTTTAAAACCCGACTCGATCGGGTATGCCCATCCCTAACTGAACCTATTGAATCAACCTAGGTTTGCAAACGGAGTAATTTCTTACATGATCAAAACCAACACTTTGCCAACTTTTCTGCTTCTGTCACCAATCATCTCTCCTTTTGCCGGCAGAAGGATATGAAAGCGAATGCCATTTATGGCAGAAAATATATATCGTATAGAAAGCGATAGACCGAATCCTATTGTACAAGCTGTATAAGCTCCGAACTAGTGATGGTCATTAGCCTGTTGCTATACTAGTTTATGCATTTACATTGCCAGAGCTACTACAGGCCTGATTAGGCAGGACAGAGTTCCGGAAATCTCCCTCCACACTCATCTGCTGGATTTCTCGAGGGGAGAGGATTTTGATGCTTCGGACACAGTTGACAAACTCCCTGAAATGAAACAGATGTTAAAAAGAGAATGTCAGGACGAGGATATTAAATGTTGCTGTATATAGTTTCACTTTCATCGATTAGTCTAATGGCTTGGGTCGTTTTCGTTGGGGCAAACAATGTAAAGAATGTATGGGACGAGCTGTGTTTATGAGAAAAGGAGCAACAGGGCTTACTCCCATGGGTCATCTCCTACTAGCAGAACATCATTCTCGTGTTCCACGTAGACTAGTCTCCAGCCTACTCTCCCTCGGTCTTCCAGCTGCCCCTATTGTAATATGACGAATAAGAACAATAAAATTGAGTTTCTTTTAAGTTAATTTATTTTTATTCGTTTTCTTTTTCTTTTTCTTTTTTATCGACCCCGAACTTGTTTTTTCTCTTTCAAAAATCCTATCGGAGAAAACCAAAAAATAAGAAAAATACTATCAAATAAATCTAGTGTTTCTTGAGATTTCTCGATAAAAACTGATGGTAGATCTTGAATAAAAAACAATTTTTATTTTATATTCAAAGTTTGAAAGGAATAAAATGAATTAGTATTATTTTTGGGCTTAGTAGTTAATTAAACGCCCGATGACCCAAATTTCATCTCTATGGGATCCACTTATTTTTACGTATGAAATAATTACAGTCGATATCTTTACATTTTTTTAATTTCACTTTAGCCCCTTATTCATTATTTTGTTTTAAAAAAATTTAATTTGACCTTTCAATTTCATGTTAATTCATTTTAAACCCTTTTTCCCTTTTAATTAAATTTCCATCGCTTGCTTCTTAATTCAATTGAAATTTGTTTTTTCATTTTTACTCATGTTAAGCATGTTGCTTCCTTCTTAAATAAGATTTTTATTAAATTTAATGTTTGTCGGTGGGCAATTCATAATTGGAGGTCTCCCACGGAAGCTGCTCTCAACCTGACGTTGAGGGCAGCCTACTATCCTATCTCCCCTTACCCCATTACATATGAGAATAGAGTCAGCTAATTATGTTGTATCCTTTTAAATTTATTTTTTCCCTTTCCTTTTAATTAATTTACTCTCAGTTTTTGGATTTTTTTTTGGATAATCTGTATTTATTACCCCAGAGAAGCAGAAGACTGCTACATATGAACCAGTACTTTACAAAGAAACAAACTGTTTTAAAAAACAAAATCCCCTAGCAACAAATAACCAAAAACCAGTACAAGGTGATCAACAGAGGGGGAAGCGCTTCAAGATATCACGCAATGTTCCAGCTAGCGCAGAGAGTAGCGTTCCTCGGATCTGCTACGTTGATAGAGCAACCACGCAACCTAATTCGTACGACAGCTTTTACATCCTCAAGGATAGTAGACCACGGTCTAGGGACTCCCCCAAACAACCTGTCATTTCTCTCCTTCCATATCTAGTACACATGGCTCGACAAAGCAAGTTTAAGCACTCGCGTGATGAGGGATTTGCCTTTAAAACGGTGAGTGGCCCAAGCAAGCTCGCCATCCCAGTGAGAAGCTCGACGATTAACACCATAGAGCTGCAGAATGGCCTTCCAGAGATTCCCCGCGTAGTCACACTCAAAGAATAAGTGGTTCCGTGTCTCAGACTCCAAGTTACATAACAAGCACTTATCATTATCTATGGCAAGTCCCATTCGCAACAGCCTAATCCTGGTAGGAAGTATATCCAGGATTGCCATCCAAAGAATAATACAGTACTTAGGGATACGTCCAGCAAACCAAACTAGATGATGCCACACAACCTTAGGTGCCTCAGGGCGAATGGCCTCCCAAATCTGCCTTGTGCTAAGTTCTTTGCCCCGATTAACAAATAAATGATGAGCATCAGGTCTCAACTTCAGCAATCTCCTGAAGTACCAGCTAGCATTATAAGGTAAGTTCAACTGCCAAAAGTCCGAGCTTTTAATAATATAGGAACGAATCCAAGCTACCCATAGGGAACCCTCCTCTGCCAACAAGTTCCTGATAAGCTTAACGAAACAAGCTTTTTTCCAGCCAAGGATATCAATGACCCCAAGACCCCCTTCAGACTTTAGAAGGCATATCTGTTTCCAACTCACCCGAGCTCCCTTCGCAGGCAGATCAGCTCCCTTCCAAAAGAAGCAAGAGCACAACTGTTCCACCCTCCTGATCACCTCAGCAGGAACCATAATCTGCCTACACCAATAGTTAGTTAAACTAAAAAGAACAGCACATATAAGTTGGAGCCTACCGGCAAAGCTCAAATGCCTGTTAGCCCAAAGGTTCAACCGTGCCCTTATTTTATCAAGAAGAGGCTGACAATCAGCTATAATAAGCTTCTTTGTAACCAGCGGGATACCCAAGTATCGCACAGGGAGCTTCCCTACTTTAAACCCCGTGTTCACACTTAGATCTCTACATTGATCAGCTGACATCCCAGCAACAAACATCTCGCATTTATTGATATTTAATTTGAGCCCAGAGAAAGAATAGAAGACATCCAAGACAGTTTGTACACCAATGATAGAATCAATGGAGGCTTTGCAGAAAATGAGGAGATCGTCGGCAAAACAAAGATGAGTCAAGCCTATCCTTTTGCATTTGGGGTGAAACTTAAAACTGCCTCTAAGAGCTGCCACATTCAACAAATTCGATAAAATGTTCATAGCGAGAACAAAGAGGTAAGGCGAAAGAGGGTCGCCTTGTCTAACACCACGGCCACCTCTGAAATAGCCAACGAGACTGCCATTGAACATGATCGAGTAGCTCGGTTTAGTGAAGCATGCCCCAATCCAACCAATAAATTTCTCAGGCAAGCCCAATGCCTTCAGAGTAACCAAAATGAAGTTCCAATCAAGGGAGTCGAAGCCTTCTGGAGGTCTATCTTCAACGTACATCTAGGGGAAATATTTTTCCTATTATAACCCCTGACAATCTCTTGGGCAAGGAGGGTGTTGTCAACAATGCTTCTCTCTTTAACGAAAGCAGTTTGGTTTTTGGTTACCATGTCGGGGAACACAGCAGACAAGCGCTTAACCAATATCCTGGTGATGGTCTTATAAATCACAGTGCAACAAGAAATAGGCCTGAAATCTTTGACTAAGCTAGGATTTGGCACTTTGGGAACAAGAACAACAGCTGTGGAGTTAAAAGCAGGAAGAATGAAAGAGTTTTCGAAGCAATACCTAACAGCAGTTGTGAAATCATCTCCAATAATGGGCCAAGCAACCTTATAAAAAAAAGGATTATAACCGTCAGGTCCAGGGGACTTGTCGTTTCCCTGTCCCCATAAGGCTTTCCGAATCTCCACGTCAGAGACATCACGACATAAAACAGTGTCAGCACCCAAGGGAAGGGAGTAATTGAGGAGATCTTTAATTGTAGCTGTGCTACAGCCCTTTACATTTGCATCGGTCGTACCCAGCTGATACTGAAAGAATTTGATCACCTCATTTGCCATATCATCGAAAGTGTCGAGCCTAGTACCAGATTGATCAAAAAGAACCATTATCGTACTGCTTTTCCTTTTGCTAGCCACCACCGAATGAAAGAAGCGAGTACCTTGATCACCCTCATTTATCCAACTGACTTTAGCCTTTTGCTTATAAAAAAGCATCTCAGCTTCTTCAAGGGAATGAAGCTCCCTTTCAGCTTGCATTTCATCGTTGACAATACTGCCAGCAGAAAGATTTGCAAGTTGAATACGCATCAGCTCCTCTCTTTTCAGTTTCACCTGATTGGAGATGTCATTGAAGTGGCTTTTGTTGAGATATCTGAGAGGACATTTTAACCGTTTGAGCTTTTGAAAAAGTACTTGGGCAGGATTACCCTCCACTGGAACCTACCAAGAATCCCTAACGATGGCTAAAAAGTCCGGGTGCAAAGCCCAAAAATTAAAGAACCGAAACGGTTTAGGCCTAGTCACAGGGGCTGCTTTCCGGAGCCACACTACAGCAGGACAGTGGTCAGAATCCCCCGGGGCGAGGAACTCCACATCGGATTCAGGAAAAGCATCAATCCAAGCAGAGTTCACCAGGACTCGGTCCAGTTTGCGAGCTAAATACGAATCCTGCTGCTTATTTGACCAGGTAAGTAAGGGACCAGTGAACGAGTGGTCAAAACCCCCCAGGTTTTCCACACAGCTCCGAAAGTCCGAGATATCAGCTAGAGTAGAAGTATTGATGCTACCCGAGCTCTCCTCAGGGTTCAAAATGATATTAAAATCGCCCCCAATCAGCCATGGAAGGTTGACAATATCCAGGGAGATTAATTGGTTCCATAGGTGTCTCCGAGCATTACCATCATTCAATCCATGCACTGCAGTGACACAAAAGCTTTGTCCCTCAAAAGAGCCCTTAATCGAAACACTCTGATCATACGCAGAGATGACAGAACAAGCCAGGTATTTATGCCAAAGAACCCAAATACGACCATTGACTGCGTGATTGTAGTTGCAATAGGAGTCCCAGTCACTAAAACTCCGGTTTAGAATGTCAGCAGAGTTGATTTCCTTAACACGAGTTTCCAGCAGACAGAGGATGCTTATATGACAGCTAGTAGCCCAATTAATGATTTTCCTCTGTTTATGAGGATTATTAAATCCTCAGATATTCCAAAAACTAACTAACATGAAATAATGGGAGAGGAAGAGGGTACCACCCCTGTCCTCCATTTTCTTCACTTTATCAAGCTGTTCTTTTTTCTTCAACTTTAAGTCCTGAACAAGTTTAGACACTCCTAAAGAAGCTGCTCTCTGCTTCTTACCATCATCAGCAAGCAACAAATTTTCAGGATCAATTGAGGTAAGAACCTCAAACTTGTTTTTTGAAGCTCCTAAAGCAGCTTTAAGTTCTTTCGCTGGTCTACCCCGACCACGTTTAATAGAGGGATTTTTTTTTTACTTTAATCTAATATAAATTTATTTATTTTATCTTTTTCATATTTATTTTATATCTTTTAAATTTGTACATTCACGTCTTTTATTATTTATTTAATTTTGATAATAATTTAGTTTATCTTTTCATGATATTATTTGTTGTTTTAGTGTTCGTAATCCTTTTGTCTCACTTTTATAGATTAGACTCGTATCATTCATTTACAATTAACTCATATACTTATTAATTTATTCCTTTATAGTAGTTTATAACTATTAATTCTAATATACTGTATTTTTATTTTGGGTAAACTACTTAAACTATTATTTTTATTTCGTTTTGGTATTCGAACTTTATTTTTTAGTCATACCTAACGTTTAGTTTAAGTTTCATTTTGGTACATTGCCGTTAAAAAATTAATTATGATGTTGGCGTATTACCTTAAGGTAATGTCACATCATCATTGAAAAAAATAAATAAAAAATATGTAAGCAATTTTGTTAATTTTTTTAATGACAATTAGGGGTGTTCATAATTCGGTTAAAATCTAATTAATCGATCGAACCAAAATTTATTTCAGTTAAGCGGCTAGTTAATTTTTAATTCGTTTGGCTAACGGTTAATAGTTTTTTCAAACTTCGGTTATCAGTTAACTCAGTTCGAAATTCAGTTAATTAATCGAATTAATCAAATTAATTTAAATTATTAAATATTTAATATATTATATATATTATTTAGCTTTATAGGTGTTTAAACTTCAGTTTTAACTAAGTTAACTGAAAATATTAAATATATCATATATTATTTATATATTACTTATAAATTTTGATTAATTAGATTAACTAACTAATTAACCGAACTTAGTCCACTTCGGTTAAAAAAACCTTGAAAAATAGCTGGTTCGATTAATGGTTATAGGAAAAAAATCGGTTAATAAATTTTGGGTAGTCAGGTTCGATCGGTTAACCGAATTAACCAATTGAACACCACTAAATTGATAGGATACAAAATCGAAACCTAAACTAAATAATAGGTATGATTTTGAAAAAAATAAGTTTTGGTACCAAAACAAAACAAAAATAATAATTTAGGTACTACATGTGTAACTTATCCTATCATTTTAAACATCAATATTCAATCTATTGGTAAAGTAATTTATATTTAAAATTAAATAATATATTTTAATTTTTATCAAAATTTCAAGATATTTATGGAAAAAAAAAGAAATATTTTCTCATACTTGCATATATTTTAAGTTTAATTGTTCAAAAATTATTTTAAAATTTCCAATCAAACACATTAAAGAAATTAAACATGCTCAATTAAGTCGTTGCTCCATGTATCATAGTTTAAACATATATTCTCAATAAAGTTCAAGGTAATAATAATAATTCAAATGAGACTATTTAGTGAATAATGTTTGACATCTTAATATTATATAAATTTATAATTAGATTTAAACAAAATAATTAATATTACAAAAACAAGATTGTAACACATTTATAACGTGCGCGAAAGAAAACAATTGAAATGATAACACACAAGAAAAAAATATTAAAAATTGAATCTATAATCAGCATCTGTGTTTTTGCCCTACGGATTAAAGCACTCGGCTCGGTTACATCTTTAAGCAAAAGCTGCTAAGGCTTCCACTTCCCATAAACAAAGCTGCAAACACACTCTAATCCATTGCGCCACATCGAAACCATCAGGTTACGGAGAGCAGCAAAGGGTTTGGTTAAATAGATTAATAGCATCTTGTGTCGAATACTATCCACGTAGAATCGTTTCGGTTAGACACTATCGGCGCCGTTTCCATGGTGGCTCTCTCCGTTACCTTCACTGAATTTGGACTTGGGTAAAGCGGAGGAAACTTTCAGAGGTGCCGGTTGCTTCTTAGCATTTAAGTTGAGGTACGTGAAAAGGGACATGCCTCCGATAGCTATAAACGCTCCACAAATACTGGTTGTGCCTGGATTAGAACCGAAGAGGTAGAAGCTTCCGAGAAGCAGAACACAGGTTTTGAATTGTCCGAGAACCACGTGGGAGATGGCAGACGTTGCCCTGAAAGTTGATAGAACGAGAATCAAGAACTGTACCAGATTGGCCAGGCGGGACAAGCGTACAAAAAGCAAATGTTTGGCCAGAACAAACTAGCATATTACAACATTTTATGATAAATGCAAAGATCTATTACCCAAGTGCCAAAGCCCCCGACCACTGAAGCAAGAAGCCGAGAAAAGCTGATAAGAGGATTGCCGATGTATTGTTGAAGCTCCAATGGAAGGCGAGCACACCCGGGGGATCAAGGAAAGGAATCATAGAAACCAGAAACAGCAGAGTGATCGGTGTTGTTTTCCACATTAACCTGTTCAACAAATTCATAACTTCAGCAACACCAAATAGAGAAGTTTTAGAAACAAAGTTAACACAAGGAGAAGAAAAGAAAGGAAAAGAAAAGCCCAGGCGAAGCAACGGATCCACTTTCTATTGCCGATTAATAAAAAAATAGAAAAGAATAATGGATAATAAATAATCTATTATCTTGATTTCCTTGGGCTAAGCTTATCCTTTGAATTCCTTTCCATCAACAAGTAAAAACTACAAGTGTGCTCAAAGGGGCTTGCAACATACGACAATGCTGTCCAGTTCTCTTGTTGCTGCAAGTTGGACCAAAGGATTTTATTGATGGCACTAGGGATAATCCATGCCATCGCTACACATGCTCCAAAGAGGCTGAACTGGAGATCAGTTACCGTAGCAATTGCAACACCAATAGATACAACCGTCAGTGCAATCACCTGACAGATTACATAGGAAGAATTTCAAGAAAAAGGGGACAAATATTACAACATGCAGAGTTCAGTAGAAAAAAAATAACAACGGCATATCATAATATACATTAAATCTCATGCGATGTTGCACACAGATAAATTCAAGTCTTGTAGAGCTCAGAAACCCTAAAACATTTATGAGGGCCAAATAGTGTGCATGCCGTTAGTAGTCCATAAAGTTACAAGGGAGTGAATAAGAACTCGTTTTCAAGAAGGTATTTGACAATGTTTATAAAAAAAATCCACTTGATGATGGGTACATGCCTTCCAATTTTTGGGAAACATTATCCTATCAACATGGTGAATAAAAATGTCTGGATGGCAAATGATAGCAGCTTATTTCATCTAGAGAAAATCTAAAATTTATTTAAGCTCCATACTAAGAACTTTCTCATTTTGCTACCGCTAAAACTAAGGCCAATGAACTTGAAATGACAACACATGTTTTCCAAGTTCGCAGAAAAGAGAAATGATCAAGTTACCTTGGAGAAAGTGACCCTCTTCTGATACCATATAAATTCTGCAAGGACAATAGATGGCGTGACAGCAATCTTAGCCATCTGATAAAATCCTACACTGGAAAAACAAATTCATTAACAATTAAGTCAAAAGGTCCTCCGAGCGAGTTTGGTTAGTTATTGTTAAAAGAGAAATAAAATATCTAACCTGTTGTATTTCAAGCTGACATTTGCAAGACCAGTAGATAAAGACATAACAATACCAAGAGTAAACAAAGACAATGAGGTTGATTTTGTGGGTGGAGATGCCGGGAGGAGGGAAAACGAATGCAAGATGGCCATCAGCACCCAACTGACAGCATAGTGAATAAAAGTCAGAAATACCGGAAACTCGAATCCTACATTTTTAAGTACCTGAAAAACACAAAACGAGTATATCAGCCATATGGGATAATTCTGTTAAATCTAAAACCAAGATCTTGAAAAATAGTTGTTTTATATGTGAGAAAAATTGGCATACAAACCCATTTGTTTATGAAAATGATGCCAACAGCAACCATAAAGTTGAATGTAAGAGCAGCAACAGGGCCACAGGTTCGTTGATGCTTGGCACTATCGAGTGAGTAGAATTTGTTAAAGAGTGAGGCTCGCAGGTCCTCAAGGGCTTTCCCTGAATTTGTAAGGCAAGGAACCAGAAGGAAGCCAAAAAAAAGTGAGAAACACAGCATAGAGAATAATGCTTTTCGGTCAATTCGTATACTTGTTCCGATAGTTAAAGTATTTCAATCCACGAATGAAATAATAAAATCAGTAAAATAGAGTTCCGTGCTTTGTACAGAACATTGACAGAGCTATTAAGCACGAAAGGATAGTTAAAAACCTATAGTAGAGGTTAAGGGATAAAGTGCAGCACAGATGGATTACCGAATGATTCCAATAGTTTCCGGCAAAGTAAATAGATGTCAATAGATTGACATTTAAAGTAATAAAGGCTGAAATTCACCAGAAATCATCAACAATTAAACATAATAAAAAAAGGGTGTTAAGATTATGCATCCTTAACCAAGAAAAACGTTTCAGAAGAACAGTCTAGTAGTACAATCCAGTCATGACGAGAAGCATTTCAAGTACCCATTTTGAGCTAATTTCTAATTTCTACTAACATGATCTCTAAAAAGAAACATTATTGCTTCAAAGAAAAGTTCAAAACACCTACTTAATATTGAAATGAATATCAGAGGCATTCGAAATTTCTTTCTAAAGAAATGCAAGCGAAATAGAGTTCACAAAAATGTAGTCTTGAAATTGGTACAACGTTAAAAAAATTGAAAAAATAAAAAATATTTCTAGAGAAAAATCCTAAACATTTAACTCCCAATATCAGAAATACCGATTACTGAAAACCCAAAAAGAAATTGAGGAAACGAACACACTACAACAAATTTAAATGAGAAAATCGAGAAAATGAGTGGGAAAAGAACCCCATTTTCGTTTACCTCTTTCGCCAGCATCGCTGTCCTTCCGCTTCAGTATCTTCCTCACATCTTTCCTCACTAAAAACTTGAAAATCTCACGGCTACAGAGCATTTTGGTTTCCTCTTTCAGCTTGCTGGGTTTTCTACACATCCATCACACACTGCCACTTTAGTAGAGTGCTTTCTGCTTTTGATTCATTTTAATTTTAGTATAAAATATTCAATTTTTATGTGAGAAAATAGAGAAGCCACGTGGCGGTGTTAGCTGAACCGAAAAACTATGGAAAGTGAGAGAAAGTCACGGTTTGACCGAGGCTGGTTGTTTGGTTCTGAATAGAATCATTCAGTTTTGAATGTTGAATCATTCAACATTCAGCGTATTTGTTTCTTAACTTTAAATGATTCAGTGTTAATTGATTCAGTAAGATAGTATTGAATGATTTAGTATAGAAATATATTTTAAATGATTTAGAGTCATTATCAAATAACATTTCATATTCAGAGTTAATTCATAAGAGCCTCTAAATCATTCAGTATTTGAATCATTCAATATTTGAATCAACGCTTAAACATTCTAAAATAAACAAACAGACCCTAAATCATTCAACATTTAAATCATTTAATATTTAAATCAACGTTTAATCATTTTAAAATAAACAAACTACACATTAATCTTTACCGACCGACACCTGAAGAACTACTGGGAAACAAAAAGAAAGTACGTGGCTTTGTGCTTCGCTTGTGAGATTGTGTTGGAATCCTCGTGAAAACCAGTGTGCTTTTGTCTTCTGCCCTGTCGGTAGTTCTGCTGCTGGATGGCATTCTTAATTGATAAAATATTATTTAAAATATTACTTTTTATTAAAAATATTAATTTCATTAATTAAGTTTTGATATAATTCAATATTAATATTTTGAATAAAAAAATATTTTATGTAATGATTTATCGAAAAATGTTAAATATTTTAAATAGCGTTTAATATTAATATTTTTAGTAAAAAATATTAATATTTACGGTGATATTTTTCTTTAATCATCTATTAAAATTGACGCAACTGAGACATAATGTTTCTTCGCCGGGTTACACGCTCAACGATCAAAACTACTGTTTCCTTTGGCGTCAATCACTCGCGTAGGGGTATTCATTCGGTTAAAACGGTGGTCGACCGAACCGAATTACCCTTAACCGAATTAACCGAACTTTTTTTTCTTTAACCGAACCGAACTTTTTTTCAAACATATTAACCGAACCGATTTAATTTCGGTTAATTCGGTTAATTTTCGAATTAACCGATTTTTTTTTAAATTTTTCTAATTTATATAAAAATTAAATATTTTTAATTCAAAAAAAGTGTATAATTAATTTAAATAATATATAATTATAAAATAAAAATTTCAGATAAAATTTTTAATTAATTAATATTGATTTAGATTTAAAAATTATTGGATCTTAAATTATTAATTGAGTTTTAAATTGTTTGGGCTTAGCCCAAATGTTATATATAATATATTTAATATTTTTTAATTGAAAAAACAGTTTACAATTAATTTAAATAATATATAATTATAAAATAAAAAATTTATATAATTTTTTTAATTAATTAATATTGATTTAGGTTTAAAAGTTAATAGATCTTAAATTATTAATTGTGTTTTAAATGGTTTGGGTTGAGCCCATATGTTATATATAATATATTTAATATTTAAAATTTAATTTCGGTTAATTCGGTTAATTAACCGAATTCAAACCGAATTAACCGTTAACCGAATTCTAAAATTTTTTTTAACCATTAACCGACCGAACTAATTCGATAACCGAACCGAATTAATCAAACTAATTCGATTCGATCAGTTAACCGAATTAGTTCGGTTATTTAAACACCCCTACACTCGCGTAATGAATCGTTGATCGGATTCAGCATTTTATATTAATATTATATGTTTGTTTGAGTTTGGTTCCCATTGCAAATATAACTTTTTTTTATCTTTATCAATTTAGAATATTCCAAGCACGTTTAAGATTATTTATGTTAGGTAAAAAGACATTAGAATTGATTGTATTTTTTTAAAAAAATTAATGTGAATCTTATATTATATTTTTAATGTGATTCTTTAATTTAAAAAATAAATTTCATCTAACTATTTGATCAACATTTTTTCGTCTTATAATATTGATATAGCAGTTTACGACGATTACATGACAGTACACGATGTTAATATAACAGTCCATGGTGATAAATTAACATGACGGGTGGCATGGTAGATGGACTGAATTGATAACTCTGACTCAGCAATGTGATTGTTATGTTAATACCGTGAACTAGCATGTCAATATTGTAACGATCAACGACAAAAAATATTGATCAAAGACCACGATAAATTTGTTTCCTGAATTTAAGGGTCACATTAAAAGAAAATATATTACAATGATTACATTAGTTTTTTTTAAAAAAAAAAACAGAGACATCCATGGTTTTTATCTTTATATTATGAATAAATTCATTAAATTATTAATTTTTATATTTATTTATAACAAATATTTCTATTATTTTTGTTATGAATATATTTAATAAGAATTTGTATTCTTTTGATTAAATAAGAATTTGTATTTGATGTGCGAATAAGATGTAATTTTATTTTTTATTTAAAATAAGGATATATTTTTATCCACCTTCAGTTAGGGGTGTTCAAAATTCGGTTTTAACCGAATTAACCGACTGAATCGAATTAGTTCGATTAATTCGGTCAGCTACCGAATTAATTCGGTCGGGGAACGGTTAAGGATTTTTTTAGAATTCGGTTAACGGTTAATTCGGTTCGAAATCGGTTAATTAACCGAATTAACCTTTAAATATAATTATATTAAGAGACTCAATCTATTTAAAATCCATTTAAAACCCAAATCAATATTAATTAATTAAAATAATATCAAAACTAAATGCAAAATGTTTGAATCAAATTAATTAGATATTATTTATAATTAGATATTATTTAAATTAATTGTAAATTGTTTTTTTTAATTAAAAAATATTAAATTCTAAAATTCTAAAAAATTTCGGTTAATTCGAAAATTAATCAAATTAATCGAAATTTATTCGGTTCGGTTAATATTTTCGAAAAAAAAATCGGTTCAGTTAACGGTTAAAGAAAAAAAAATTCGATTATTTCGAAAATGATAGTTCGGTCGATTCGGCCACCGAATGAACACCTCTACCTTCAGTTTATCGTGAAAAATATTAAATAAATTCAATTTTATAATTTTACAATAATGTGTCTTTTCATTTAACATAATGTGTATATAAAATATAATTCTGTTTAATATTTTTAATTTTTATATAATAATAATAATATATATGTAATATTGATGTGACGTAAATTATATAATATATAATAAACCAAAATAAATCAATACCTTTTATTAATAAAGTACAAGGCTGAATGTATAAATATCCTATGATAAAGCTATAAGCAACCGTCAAGTTAACGACAAATGGAGGGAAAAGCATAACAGCAAGCTGTAGTATAGCGGGTCCACTCAATCTAAACTTACTAGTAGCACAGAGTACAGTAGAAGTTGAGCAGAGCACAGTCAAATCCGGCTTTTTTACCCCACTGACACCGTTTGTTTTTATTTTTACTTTTCTAACATCGTTCGACCAATATTTCCAAAACTAGCATCCTTTCTGCTGAGTTGGCAAAGGCGCGTCCCCGGGGCGCGCTTTACCCGGTTTTTTCGCTGAGTTGGATGCCACGTGTGAAAGGCGCCCCGGGGACGCGCCTTTGCCAACTCAGCAGACACGTATTTTGTTTTATATAAATAGTTTATTTTTATTATTATTAGAAATTAATAATATATTATGTAAAATGTTTCGATTATAATGTAAGAATTATCAAGTTTCGAGTATTTTTAATTTTGATTATCGATCTATTAATTTATCAGTTAATTATTTAAATGTTATCAATCTAGTCATCTCATATCAATATTTAACGAAAATATTGATGCATAAGTTAATAAATTAGTATAATTACATATTTAATCTTCAAGACTTACATATTTATAAAATTAGTCTTATTGAAAATTTAATTTAATAAATTTAATCCTCCAATCAGAACATGAAATGTGTCATCGTATACATAATTTTTTAATAACTTTTAATTTGTTTAATTTAATATTTTTCTCTACTTAGAAGGTGGAATTATTATTATATTTTAAAAAAAATTATAACTAATAATATTAAATATTATATTAAATAATATATTAAATATATTTATGTATTTAAAAGTTAAAAAAAATTATTTAGGTGTACATACATTGACAAATTATATAAATGCAATAACATTAAATTATTAGAAATAAAAACATTCATTTAAAAACTTTAATTACATAAGAGTTAACGGTTATATGATGATAACAGAGCTGGACATTTTTTCTATTGTGCCCGATGTTTCTACAATGCCCACATCGTTTTGTTCTGTTGACTTCTCCCGAATATCCATATCACAATGTATTCTAGTAGATTTTGGACGACCTGAGTCCCTCAATAGCAATGGATCTGGGACAATTGTAAGCCGAGTTTGAATCTCATTTGGGTCTCTTTCGTTTCCTATGGGCGGAAACTCAAATTCATATACCTTGAAAACTTGTGAAAGTTGGTATACGGGATCAACATAATTTTTGTAGTCCAAATGCGAATGTGAGCAAGCAGCAATGACATGAGAGCATGGATATTTGAGTGCTTGAAAGAAACCACAATCGCACCACCTCTCTTGCAGATTACTCTGAAAGAGTTAGCTTCAATCCCTTGCAGCGGACGTGGCATTTCGGTTACACGAAACAATTCACGGGTGCGAGAAAAATTTGTAACTAACATCCCATTTGATGTAGCCATTTTTTTTCTGTAAATCGGCTACTAGTCTTGGGTGGTAAATATGTCCGTTTTGCATCCAAGTAAGAGCTTGTCCACCGAGTTTTGCAAAGAGTTGACCCAAACGAAAATAAGTCGTTTTGACCAACGCCGTGACTGGTAAATAAATGACGCGCCCCCTTTAAGGTTGAATTTATTGCTTCAGCCAAGTTTGTTGTCATATGACCATAGCGATACCCCCGTCATATGCATTTGTCCACATTTCTTTGCTGATGTCCATAATGTACTCGCACCCCTT